ATATGCATATGCATATGCATATGCATATGCATATGCATATGTATACATGCACGTGCACGTGCACGTGCACGTGCACACGTACATACATACATACATACATACATATATATATTCACGCAAACATTATTTTCCCTATAGCAATAACAAAGGGGAAGCTTAAGTCGTTCCCGCCCAACACACACCCCTGGATCTAAACCAGGCTTGGAAAGAAGAAAACCACCAAAGAAGAGGCTTGCATTCCCAACTCAATGGTGTTAAAGTCAACAAGAAATTAAAAAGGGTTAGGATGGAGCCACAAACATAGCCCACCAGAGGTCATCCACAAATCCCTACATGCTATTAATCACATCTTGGTGCTATAACACAGCCTAAAACAAACTGGAAAAGTTCAGCGATCATCTGTTTCCTGCAAGGCCTTTAGGATTGCATACTATCTTCTCTACAATTTTCATAAAAATGGAAGGATAATAATAATAATTATAATCTACTACATTTATATAGTAAGATGCCTGACTCTCAGTGGCTCTGGGAAATTGGACAGCATATATGATTGAAGACCGAACAATTGAAAAATTCCATTGCATCCAATAACAGCCTCGTGAGGAGAAGCCGAATCACGATAGCACCTTTCTCTTCAACAAAGAATAATTCACTATTAGCTTTCATTCCTTCAGATTCTGCCACTATGTTACATTCTGGATACAGCAACAATAATTTAATTGATTTTTAAAATAACTATCCAAAATTGATTGGAATTCAGAATTTGGAGAAATAAAAAATAATGCACCAAGATTTACACAGATGAAAGTCACTTATACTAAATGGCTAAATTCGTCAAACAAAGCCATGATTTGTTGAATAGGCCCCAGTGGCTGGCATTACAAATCAGGTAACGGCATTAACCATGATTTTAAACTTTGGTAGTTGAGTCTAGAGAGTGATGAAAGCAAAAGGAAACAAACTATATTACTATTTAGTGCTAGAGGTGAGCTTAGTACCAGGGTCAAACTAATTGAAACAGCATTTAGGTATTGAAATATATATATATACCGTATTTTTCGGAGTATAAAATGCACCTTTTTCCCACAAAAAAGAGGCTGAAAATCTAGGTGCGTTTTTTACATTGAATACAGCATTTTTTGCCTCCCGAAGTCCTGCTCCTTCATCAAAATGGCCGTGCATAGCTTGTAGGAAGCTTTCAGAGAGCTCCTGGGTGTTGGGAAGGCAGAAATGAGCAAAAAACAGACCGTTTTTGCCCCTCCCCCTTCAGCTGCCAGGAGCACTCCATAAGCCTCCATAAGGCTATACATGCAATTTTCTTGACAAAAAAGGCCCATTTTTTTTAAAAAAACAGGCAATTTTTGCTCATTTTTGACCCCCCCCTCCCCATGGAGCATTCCGCAAGCCCCCCCCCCCCAAGGCTATTTACAGCTTTAAAAAAATGGGCCCGTTTTTGCAAAAAACGGGCCATTTTTAGGAGGTTTGCAGAGTGCAAAAATCCCCCCCCCCTTTCGGAAAGCTCTTTAGTTAAAGTAATTGATGAGAATTACATTGATCAAGTGCTGTGCCAGCAGAAACAAAGTCTTAGGTGCTGCAGATTGTCAGCAATTTCCTTCTCCAGCACATGGATAAATACACCTGGAAACATCTACCTACTTACCTACCTACCTACCTACTCTATCTCTCTCCCTACCTACCTACTGTATTTCTCTCTCTTTCTCCACCTACCTACTCTCTCTCTTCCTAACTACCCACTGTATTTCTCTCTCTCTCTCCCTCTATCTACCTACGTACCTACCTACCTACTCTCTCTCTCCCTACCTATCTACTGTATTTCTCACTGTCTCTATTTCTCTCTATATCCCTCTACCTACTAACCTACCTACCTAACCTTTCTTCCTACCTACTGTATTTCTCTCTCTCTCTCTATTTTTCTCTCTCTATCCCTTTATCTACCTACCTACCTAACTACACACACTCTCTCTCCCTACCTACCTACTGTATTTCTCTCTCTTTCTCTCTCTCTCTCTATCCCTCTCCCTACCTATCTACTTTTTTAAAAAATTTGCCTCTTCAAAACCTTGGTGCATCTTATACTCTGGAAAATACGGTATTATGAAATATATATATATACATTTCTAAGAGACTGGAAAGTTCTATTTTTAACAATAAAATAGAAATATGGATGAGTACAGGAATTTTTTCACTTAGACTAAGCCATTCATATTATATCATATAACATCAAATCAAATCTTCATTATGGTCATAGACCAGCACATAGTCTTTTAAAACCAAACATGTTCTACTAGGCAAAGCACACTAATACAAAGGTAGATTATGTAGCATTTTTTTAAAAAAATGTTCATATTCCATTACACTTCCTGCTGCTCTTTTAGGCGATTGGAAAAATTTCTCAGAATTGCCAGTCACATTTAGCCTTCATTTTTGTAAACACAGGTCACTGATTTATTCACACATTTCATTACTTTTATTTATTTAATAAATTTATTTAACCACCCATTTAACAATGAAATTCTGGTTGGAGAATAAAAGATAATACATAATATACAATCAAATCAAATCATAGTGTGCAATGTTTCCAACAATGAAATCTGATTCCAACAATAAAATCATCCAACAGGTAAGCAGGGACTGAATCCAAGATGCTATTTACAAATTTAATGCAAATTTCTAAATCAAGGCAGAGTACAGATGAATATATGATAATTTTTGGACACACCAAAGTTAAGTTTACAATTATTTACCTCCCTTTTTCTTCTCCCAAATTTTCCTTTACTTCTGTTTTACGACCATATTCTTCTTGCCCTAACTGAATTGTTATAGACTCGCTGAAAAATAGTGAACTCTCTTTAAAAATCTGAGGCAAAATGAATTATGCAGGCTGTGTCAATTTGCATATCCTAAAAAAATGTGTTCATAGAATTAGATTTCTTGGCACGAATTTCAGACTTTTAAATGAATATGCAAATTTGGAGTTTTGCCCAGTTCCCATAGAATCCTTATCTTCTTGTTATGGAACTGCTTAGTGAAAGGAGAGATGTTCAGTTGCATCCAAAAAATGTTAATCCCTACAAAGGATAAACAAGAAAAATAGTTAAAATGGTATCTTGGCCCTGTGAAGTAATCATTTTGACACTTTTCCTTCAAAATTCTATGATAAAAGCAAAGCAAGATCACAGCTGCAAGGCAGAGAAAAATTCCAGCATGAGATTTTGGAAAATCACTATCAGCCAGAGCAGACAATACCTGAATAGATGGCAGGCTACAGAAACTTCATTATCTTTTATGCACATTGGGAAGTACTTATGCGACTACACAATCTCATGTAATTCTATTTTGGCTATCTACAAACAAGAGACAGCTATCTGTCATTTTGGAATAAGCCCTAAGATGTGACATATTATACAGTAGTCAATTTCTTCAAAAGTGAAGGGAACATTTTATTTTATTTATCTAGCTGCCATATTTAAGATGCACCCTTTTTCCTCAAAAGAGGCTGAAAATCTGGATGCGTCTTATACATCGAATACAACATTTTTTGCCTCCCGAAGCCCTGCCCCTTCACCAAAATGCCCATGCACAGCCTTATGGAGGCTTTCAAAGAGCTCCTGGGGGTTGGGGAGTACAGAAATGAGCAAAAACCGGGCTGGTTTTTGCTCAATTTTGCCCCCCAGCCCCCAGGAGCACTCTATAAGCCTCCATAAGGCTATGCATGTAATTTTCTTGACAAAAAAGGGCCCATTTTTGTGAAAAATGGGCCATTTCTGCTCGTTTTTGCCCCCCCGGAGAGCACTCTGCAACCCCCCCCCCCAAGGCTATTCATGCCTTTGTTTTTAAAAAAACAGGCCCATTTTCATGAAAAATGGGCCGTTTTTGGAAGGTTTACAGAGTGCAAAAACTTTTTTCCCCCCTTTCGGAAAGCTCTTTAGTTAAAGTAATTGATGAGAATTACATTGATCAAGTGCTGTGCCAGCAGAAACAAAGTCTTAGGTGCTGCAGATTGTCAGTGATTTCCTTCTCCAGCACATGGTTAAATTCACCTGGAAACATCTACCTACCTACCTACCTACTCACTCTCTCTCTCCCTACCTACCTACTGCATTTCTCTCTCTCCCCCATCTATCTACCTACATACCTACCTACCTACTCTCTCTCTCCCTACCTATCTACTGTATCTCTCTCTCTCTCCCTACCTTCTCTTTCTCTCTCTGCCTCCCTTTATCTAGATAACTACCTAACTACTCTCTCTCTCTCTCTCTCTCTCCCTACCTACTGTATTTCTCTCTCTTTCCCTACCTTCCCTCTTTTTTAAAAAAAAAATTGCCTCTTCAAAACCTTGATGTGTCTTATACTCTGGTGCGTTTTATACTCCGAAAAATACAGTAATTGACATTGCCTCCATTTTTCCAGAAATGACTCTGGGTAGTGCACAACTATAAGATGAAACAACAAATGTAAAAACAATAAGTACATCAAATCTAATCGATTTGATCTGATTTCAAATGTAAAAACAACTATAAAATATAAACATCCATATTAATCAATATCATAACAATCAAACATACAAACCATAGGCGAAAGGAGGATAATAATGACAGTCAACAATGGAGCCATCTAAATAAGACTTTAGTTCCCTGAAAGTCCCAGGCCTGATAGCCAGGTCTTGAGAGCTTTTTGGAATGTCAAAGAATTAGAATTAGAATAACAGTGTTGGAAGGGACCTTGGAGGTCTTCTAGTCCAACTTCCTGCTCAGGCAGTAAACCCTATACCATTTCAGAAAAATTGTTGTCCAATCTCTTCTTTAAAATTTCCAGTGTTGGAGCATTCACAACTTCTGGAGGCAAGTTGTTCTACTGATTAATTGTTCTAACTGTCAGGAAATTTCTCCTTAGTTCTAAGTTGCTTCTCTCCTTGATTAGTTTCCATCCACTGCTTCTTGCCTGTCTTCAGATGCCTTGGAGAATAGCTTGACTCCTCCTTCTTTGTGACAACTCCTAAGATACTGGAACACTACTATCATGTCACCCCTAGTTCTTCTTCTCATTAAACTAGACATACCCAATTCCAGCAACCGTTCTTTATAAGTTTTAGCCTCCAGCCCCCTAATCACCTTTCTTCCTTTTCTCTGCACTCTTTCTAGATAATAACATCTTTTTTTACATTGTGGCAATCAAAACTGGATGCAATATTCCAAGTGTGGTCTTCCCATGTGGTATTAACACTTCATATGATCTTGATTCTCTAATTTCAAGGGAGGGAGGGGATATTCCATAACGCAAGCACCATGGCAGAGAAGGCTCTGATTTAAGCAGATAAAGGATTTTAACTACAAATACATTGAAGTGGTTCTGATAAAAAGGAGAGAGAATTCAAGTTTGCGCTATGCGTCAGAATCATAAATCACAAGTTCAAAAATATTACTTCAAAAGTTATATAATATAACAGCACTTACTAGGGTACAGCGTTAAAATAGTCTTCTGGAGTCACAGTTTTGATTCCACCAAAGAAGTCTAGAAGCCAGATGTTGATGATGTTCAGTTTGGCAAAAAACCAGTTATGCCCTACAGGCCAAAATGCCATTTCAGGATGTCTACTGAACAGTGCTGTCTTTGCAAAATCAGCTTCTGTACCATTCTGAACCTGAAAAGTTTTCAACAATATGAAAGACAATAAATTAGTTAGCCATTATATTTTTCTGCAAGTCTGCTCAAGATTGGACAATCCAGGGCATAACAAAACATATAACTAGAATTTGAACAGCTGTCTGGACTCAATCCAGTGGAATTGTTGACTTTGAATTGCAGCCTCTATGCTTAGCTAACAGTCTTACAACCAACAGCTGGACAAGTCGAACAGCTTTAGTTGCACAGAAAAAGCAACACATTCATAAAAGCAGGACATGTGTAATCATTTGGTCCTGATTACTGCTTGGATGATCATGTAGTGAGTGGCTAGGAACTGAATATTTTAGGACTGGATGGTGGTTAAATTTGTTTTTAAAATTGTACTAAATCATTTTTTTAATAAATTATCAGGTTAGGATACAAATTGTACATGATAAAAATTTATATCGGGTAACAATGAGAAAGATTTGAGAAGAGCAGTGTGGCCTTTTGCAGAGTTTTGCCCTTCAACAATCATTGAAAAAATGTATGGAAATGAGAAAAAAGGTTTATTGTTCATTTGTTGATTTAGAGAAAGAATATGATAAAGTTAGGATTTATTTACTCAATGTTTTATGTGAATATGGAGTTGAAGGTTAACTGTTGAATGCAATAAGATAGAGATAAAGCATGCATGAGAAGAAGTGGAATGCTAAATAAATGGTTTGACACTGAGCACAGAGTAAGTCAAGGATTTGTACATGTATCCATATTTTTATGGATATATTTATAAGGAATGTTTGTGGTAAAGGTTGGCAGGCATTGTGAATGTTATTTGTACTTTTCAATGCAAAGAGTCACATATTGTTGACTGAAAACTGAATGATTTGCAACAAACACTAAGTATACTGTATTATATGAAGCAATGAAGCATATGGATATGATAATGCATCAAAGAGTAAGGTAGCTATTTTTAATAGGGAGAATAGTAAATAGTTTCAGGTTTATATTAATAGTGAAAATATTGAGCAGATGGATGAATTTGTATATTTTGGTAGAATAAGATAATGGAGGGGTATAATTAATGGCATTGAAATAGACTAGAGTTAGTTGTATTTCTTTTGTTGTTGTTGTTGTTGTTGTCCTTATCTCACATCTTATTTCTTTGGGTCACTGTCTCTTACATTCTGGAATAATTTTGCCTATTGCAAATAATGTTATGGATATGGGCCACAGGTTGCCCACACCAATTTAAAACACTGATGTCATTTGAACTACAATACTATAGACAATTTCTTTTGAATAATTCCTTCTAGACTCACTTTCTCTACTACCACCTGGTTCCTTGAATTAAGTCTCAAATGCAAGGTTCCAAATAAAGATTAAAACAATGTTGTTTTATGTGGTGTTTATTTGTATAATTATGCTGTTTTATTGTATTTTTTTATGAACATGTTGAAAGTGTCAAAAGTCTCTTCTGATGGCAGCAATTATATGCCTACATAAACAAGTTTTGCCACAATAAAAAGGAATAAATATGTTGTAGTATAAAGTTTTCTAGGCCAAAGATGATTTTCATCACCTTGCCAACTGGGAAAAAGAAAGCAATTTCTCTCTGAAATCTTAAAACTAGAGAGCAAACAAATATCCTTTTAGCAATACTCTATAATCACTTACTCAATAGTTTGCCACATAATTTGCAAAGCATTGTGAAACGATTCAATTCCAGCAGCAGAGTCCCATGCATGAGGAAAATAGCTGGGAGAAGACAATACACTGTCCTATGTGGCTATTTCCTCATCACAAAATAAGAAAGTCCCTTCATTACATCAGGTCAAATATGTGTATGTGTATGGATTTTTACTGTTAAATATGCAGACTCAGGAGACATAGATTATGTTGACACCAATGTTAAAAACAAACTATTATGAGAACTATTTTCTAATTCCGAGCTAGAATTTACATATATTTAGTCTTGTTACCAGCACAAATATTGGTTTACCTTCTCAACTACGCCATAGAAGATCACATGGGCACATAGAGGATCTTGGGGATCATAACCTTGCTTCTTGCAATAAGAAGTCTGTGCCAAGGACATGGTTAGGGAGGCATTTGCATTCACCTGAAATACAAGAGGTAAATTGGGTTTAATCAAAGTTCTAGCTCATTGAGTAAAATAATGCTAAAGGATAATTTAACATATAATTGTCAAAGGTAACATGCCTAAAAACACTTGAATTTGCTTGTTTCATTTTCTATTTAGTGTAAAAGTTTAAAAATCACATGATGTTGACTCAGCCTTTTCTATAGGCACAAGACTGAATTGTGACCTCTTAAAATATTCAAACAAATTTATTTTTGGGGAAAAGTGAAGTTAAAGCAGCACATGATTTAAATGTGTAGCATTTTACATTTGCTGCTTCAATATTAACACAGATACAGATTACTAAATTCCAAGAACATGCTGAGTCATGACTGAGTATATTATCTGTGGAAAATGTCTCCAGGGGTCATCTGTATTGCTGGAGATAAAAAGACAGCAGCACTTTTTCAAGATACTGTCCTTCAGAATGAGGAAAGGACAAGTTAGCCTCATGGTCCAATAAGCACCATAGAATTTCAAAAACATATTTAGAAATACAACCCATATTGTTGAAAAGTTTCTTTAGGTTCTTCATATTTCGTACACCACACAACAGAATGCTATATTTTTCTTTCTCTCTCAAAGAAAGAACTTTATAACCATCTCCAATAGCTCTTCTCTGACAAATTGTACACAGATGACAGAGTAATCAGTGGACTCTATTTCAAGAACAGAGTTCCAAAATGTACAAGCCTATCCCAGATGAAGCACTTTTATTGGAATCATCAAAAATGTCACAAATAGGCAACATGTTTTTCAGATCTTTAGAACTCTGTCTTTCTTACTATCTATGAAAAAATGTGTGAACTATTACTATTAAATCCAGCTGCAATATGTTCATAAAGTTCAGATATAAATAAGATAACAAAAGATAAACAACATTTAGAAGAGCTTGTAATATTCACTCAAGGTTCTAATGAGCAACAAGTCACTGAACCCTAAATGTGCATTGTTCAATAAATAAATGAGTAAGTGGAGTATTCATTATCAAGACTTTTTAAAAGCATTATCCAAATAAAACAAATCTTTGGTTTATGTCACTTCACATATAGAGGGAACATAGCAGAGATGGGTTGCTCCCGGTTTGGCCCGGATCAGCCGAACCGGTAGTAGCAGCAGTGCTACTTGCCCGAACGCCTTACCTGCCCGGACGCTTCTCTGCATGTGCAGAAGCGTCACACATGCACGAGAGCGAATCGGCAGTAAAAAAATTGGAAACCCACCACTGGAACATAGTAGAAGATCATGTTATTTATAGAACTTTGTTTTCTCAAGTACGCAATATAGAAGCCAAGTTGACAGACACAGCTTACTTGTTTAGACATGCATTTCTTGAGAATTTAAGATTTTCACAGTCTTACATGCTTAACTTTAAGTTGATAATTATATTCCTACAACAAACAAAATGTGTACAAATTCTATATTAGAAAACATTTCAGAGATATTGCTGAGCTCCAAAACAGGAGTGGATAGTTTCAAAATCTTTATTCGGGTCTAGCAACATACAGAGTAAGGCTGTCACAACTTCCTGCATACTTCAGCAAGGAAGAAAAGACATTCCATGAAGATCAAAGTAAGAGGATAGAAATGTTTGTGGCATAACCCTCATCAACATATAGGAAACTATCATTAGAAGGTTTTTCCTTTGCTGCCAATCACAAGCAAGCATTGAAAAAAATGCACTATAAAATACTGACAATACTTGTTACCATTATATTAAAGAAATAAGGAACTACCTGTAAACTAAGATAATTATGTATGTATGTATGTATGTATGTATGTATATTCATAATGGAAAAATCTCCCTCTCTCCCCAGTTCTCTCCTACCTGCCTACCAATTTCTCCATACAATGAAAGACAAATTGAAAAAAGAAAAGAGAAAGAGAAAAAATGCAAAAAGATGAAAAGAGAAAAGAATTAAAGTTAGAATAGGTTCCTACCTTCTTTTCAAGAGACACCGTAGACACAATTTTATAATCCCTGTTACTAAGTGAGACAGTTGTTAAGTGATTTGTCAATTTACAATCATTTTTGCCACAGATGTTAAATGAATCATTGCAATTGTTAAGTTAGTAACACAGTTGGTAAGTGAATCGGGGTTCCCTATTGACTTGCTTGTCAGAAGGTCACGAAAGGTGACGCATGATCTTGGGATACTGCAGTCTTCCTAAATATGAGTCGGTTGCCAAGCATCTGAATTTGGATCACATGACCAAGTGGATGCTGCAATGGTTATAAGTATGAAAAACAGTCATAACTTTTTTCAGTGCCATCATAACTTTAAATGGTCACCAAATGATCTGTTGTAAGTCGAGGACTGCCTGCATTGTGTCATATGGATATAACAGAGACATCTTTCAATGAAAATAAATCCAAACAGCAACAGTAAAAGGAACAGTGAGATATATCTTTAGTTTGTTCCTTCTGGAAAAGCAAGACGACATAGCATATTTAAGCCAGACCAGATACCATTTTTCGATGCATCTGCACGATAAGATTCTCCTACAATATCAGTTGTGAACGAGGCATTGCAAACTACAGAAAACGTCATATTCTTACAAACTTCAAAAATCAGGTTTATTTGTTGGTCTTCTGGCACTCCAGCATCAGCTGAAAATCATATACATCCTATTGAGTTAGTTTTCTCATTGGAAACTGATTGCTACATCCCTACTTCCCAGTTCACATTGTAGTCCAGATGGGGAAAAGTTCACAAAAATGCAACCAGATTAGCATACTGGTACATCCATCCCAGAGTTTGCAGCCAAATCTTGAATAGTAGTCTTCTTAAGGATTACAAGCATGGTTTTTAAAATTGTTCTTCATCTATTACCTACAGATCAATTTTCCTTTGCAACTATCCCCTCAGAAAGGCTGTCTTGCAAATCATAGATATGGAAGTGTCCAAATGTGTTCGCTGAATCACCTGTAACTGAATGTGAGTTTGCCATTGTTTCATCTAATTATCTTCAAGTATTATTTATTTCCCCTTGAATCATAAAAATTTCTATTCATTTGACTGATAGTCCCTTGAAGGCAATTTAATATTTAATTACTAGCTGAATACCTGTACATGATGAAACGATGTGATTGGACAATGCAGGATAAATCCAGTTTTCTGCAGTTCAATCTGTTTGCTCAGTGGTGGTCAGTGATTGAAACACATAAGGGAATATCGCTCCCACTGCCTTGAGTCCGGAAGCAGTTCCATAATGGGAAGGCGTAGACTTTTGGCAAGATACCAACATTTAATACCATAAGGAGCCCCAGACCATTCTTGAGTGAAGGAGTGGAACGTCTGCCAATTTGAACTGAGGCAATAGAATGTGAGGCAACTGGAAGTTGGAATAGAGTTCTTTTCAAGTGGGGAGGGGGAGTAGAATGTCTAACCCCTTAGCGTCAGAGCATGTTAATATAAGGCAACTGGCAGTTGGAACAGAGGTGGGGAGGAGAGAATTCCTCAGAATCAGAGCATGTTAATTACTGTATAAGAAATACTAATGATCTGATGGTCATTTCGAAAAATCCTTTCTTAGCGAGCACCTAGAAGCCAAGAGGAACATATGTGACAAATTGCAAGTTTGTAGGCTTTACAGTTCTGGAGATTTTGTGATAAGTGGTATTTGGCTTTTATATATGTAGATTAATATTCAAAGTACAGACAGGTTCAGTTCAAAGTAACTCAAAGTTTCTCTACACAGCATTTGCCAAGAAACTAATAAAGTAGTGATGAGCTAGAAAACATTCTGTCTATGTTATCTGCATAGCAAACATACCAGGATCACTGTGGATTTCTCCCATCCCATAATTCTTGTTAAGAATACTGTGACAGAGCACTCTTAATGCAATTTGTTTTAAGACCTGACATAGACCATAGATAGCTGTGAATAGATTTCATTCTCTCCAGAAAATATAGATGGGCAAAGATAATTCATTCTTTTGTCCTACCATGATGTAGAGAGCCCCCTGCCTCTTATTAAAAACTGTACGTGACTCAATTTTTAAAAATCAAATTTAATAAATCCAATTTATTAATATTTATCAATGGTCACAAAAGCAGAAATTGTGGATGATTTAGTGCTTTTTTGCAGGGAAAAATATTCTTAAAGTAAAAAGAAGAAAATAAATCCGTTTAAAAAAAATCAAACTTGCCTTACATAGAGTTGTCTTGTACTCACTTTTTTAGGTTAAGTGAAGATTATTTGAGAAGGAGGAAGGTCTCCAAACAGGTATGTTTTCAATACGTCTTTTAATCTTTGGTTCCTATGAAATTTCAACTCTTTAGTGTATTACATTTGGAACCTTCTTTTTATGGTTCTATGTTTTAATTACTTATACTAAGGCAAACATAGCTAAGTGATACATCATGATACTCTATTAGCGTGTATGAAACTATTTGGTTTAATAATCATTTATTAAATATATATGTTGCCTGACTTCAGTGTCTCTCATTTATTCAAATTTACTGATCACAGCAGTCAATTAATAAAAATACACCTACACTTAAGTATAATATGGCATGACATTTACATTTAAACACACACCTACACAGAGATTACTTCCAATTACACTATTATTTTAGAACATAATGAAAGACAAAGGAGAAGAATGGATAAGAGTGAGGTCAAAAAATTCCATATAAACTCATCATAGAGTTTTGAGCTACCAAGAAAGAACTGAAAGGAACTCTATAGAATGGCTTGTCATAACGTTATATGTAAGGTAAATGACACAAGACTCTAGTAACAGCTAGCTGAATCCCCTACAGATTGACAATTTCTCATACATGGAAATGGATCCAAAATTCTATGTCCTGATTCTATAAGAAATCTGATTTGCAAAAACCTAATGCTGTGAATGTTCAGCTTATGCAAAATATGTGCATATTATCCTTCTATTACAAAAATGTTGGTCTTCTCCCTAATCCTTTTTAAGCACTGACATCCCTAAAACTTCATTGCTCAGAAGCAGAATATGTATTTTTAATACTCAGCCATGATCATTGTAACACTCTACAGAAACAAATATCACTGTAGCTACCTTCATTCACACATTGCACTATTAAATAAATCCATAGCTTAGTATAATAGATAAAGTGACTTATGTGTTTTAATATAATGTACTAATCTACCGATTACCATTCAGTCAATACTGCTTAAAATATGGCTTCGCATAACTGGAGGTAGTGCAACTAAACCACTGAATGCAGATAAAAGTATATGTTATTGAGATTTAATACAGAACAGAATAAAACTATTGATTTGTGTTGTTTTGCAATTATATTTCTACTTTGTACAGCCTAAAATTCAGTCTGTTTTATTGTGATCAACTATAATTCCAAGATCCTTTTCACAAATCTTATCCATATTTGTACACAACTTCTTTTTCATAAGATCTTTGCATTTGTCCAATTTAAAAATTCAGAATCGCCATCAGAACCTGCTGTTTATCATACAGGATAAAATATGTCATGTCATTTCTATTTTGTTCTGCAAGATAAATAACCATTCTAAAAAATAGGCTTTGCTATTTAAATTGAAGGAAAAATTAAAACACCTTCTTACCACTACAATAGTTACAGTCCATTCCAGACTCCAATATTAAAAAGTGAAACAAAATCCCATCCAGTTTTTCATACTATATCGGAGACTTGAGCCAGAAAACTGGCATGAAATTCCTGCTCAGCTTGGGGGTTGAATTATGATTGTCAAATCTTTACATTGCAATTCTTATGTCACAGGCTTATTAACTAAAACACAGAAACATACAGTATGTACTAAATGGACTAGCCACAATAGATGACATAAAAATCTTGTTATTTTATGCTGAAAAATAATTCATGATTCTTTTTGCATCATCTTTTTCAAAAAGTCAACGGGTACATATGGAGTTGTCTTTAAAACTATGCTCTCATAGCCACAGAAAACAACATGATTTAATTTGACCCACAGCTCATTATAGCTTAATCTCAAAAGTGGAGCGCATCAACCTGCTCTACAGAGGAAACAACTAGTTGTGTTAAATCATTTTTGGTAATCCGGACGAGTCTAGTCTTTCTCATAAGAAAACGATAAGTGGATAGTTCCCTAAGAATTGACCGAAAATGCTGATGGAGGAAACTGCATTTTCTTCTTTTACGACCATGCCGGGCTACACATTAGAATCCCAAACCAACCGGGCACTTCTTTCAAAGGGAACGTACCCAGGACGAAGCAGTCAGCCACCGCTCACCTTCAGGTCATGCACTGAGATTTCCAGGTCCGTCAGGTACATATAAGGGACCCCACTACTTTTTCCCACCGCCCCGTCACTGACGGAGAAGACATTGGCGAAGGGCTGGCCTCGCATCGGAGGATCCTGCGTGGAGATCGTAGCCAGCGCGCCCCAGTCACACATATGGGCCACGAAGCGGGCGACCCGTGCCGTCTCCTGGTGCGGGGGGATTGCGGTCACTCCCGCCAGCAACCACACCAGCCGCCACATCTCACCTCCTTCACGAACACTTTTGGAAAAGATCCCTTAAGACTGATAGGAGAAACCGGGCACTTAAAAAGCTAGGCAGCCCCGCCCTCCTTCCGCGCATCCAATAAAATACTTGCCTGCTTCTGAAAGTTCCCACGGAAGGAGGGTTGCTAGGATTTTCATCCAATGGCAGCTCAGATTATCCCCTTTTAACCTAACTAATGGCGGAAAACATTGTGGACATGGCTACACATTGTGGGCAGGATTATATTCCTATCCACCAATGATAATACGCCTTAAACTTAAGTAAACGAAACGTGTGGCTAGGTAAATAAGGAGGAAGCGATAAAGTAGTTTTCCTGTTTGACTGGATATATAAGTGTCTTCGTAGAGAGTGGTTGTGGCTGTATTTGCCAACATGCCAGCATGCTAAAAATAATTAACAAACCAAAATGGCTATGTTTTAATGACACATTGCTGAATAATCTAGACAATTGATGTTAGCCTGTGTATTATGTGAACAGTTTGTGTAGTTTGTAATTAAGTGAGCTGTTTGAACCTAAAAAATCATTTTAAAAAAAAAACAGTTTAGCTAATCATAAGTATTAATGTAAATAAAGCCATTCTAAGGCAAAACACACAGTATGGTTGGTTTATGCCTACCTACTGTAGCTTTTAATTAGAGTTCATTGGTACATTTGGGAAGTTCAGCCTAGCAAGTAAGTTTCATCAGAATATATTTGTTAATTTCCATAATGGAAAAGTGAAACAAGTGATACTTCCCCTTTTAAAAATAACCATTTATCTGAAGTGATGTAGTGAGTGCTATTTAGAGTATATTAGTGGATAATAACATGCACTCTGAGTAACCCCTCTGAAGCTACATTATGTTAGAGGTTAGTACTTTGATGGACAGCACCACAGATTCCAAGGCTGATGATGGAATTGTCTTACAATAGTCTACAACATTGCCAAGAAACTGCATGGATGCAATTACCAAGTCTTTGGTGTATTTTTAAAAAATCCTTCCCAAGACTTAGTAGTAGCTTGGGGCATTGACTCTTGAAAGAAAGCTGACTAAACTGTAGTCTTAGTATCAATAAATCCTATTGATTTTGGAGTGGGAGGTTGTATTCTTAGGAGATAATCAACTGCATGAATTTAATTTAAAATGCTTATGCCTGTGTAACCCACCCACCCCCAACAATTCTTTTTTTTTTTTGTAGCAGGGGGCAAGAAAACATCCTAAGGTGGTCTGAGACTGTAGACTGAAGGAAAGCTCACTGATCATGGAAAACAGTCTTTCAAGAATGACATGACAAGCAGTGGACGTTTAGCCAATTATCAGTTCTTTACAAGTAGGGGCATTCCACTTGCTTTCCTCTCTTCTCTATTCCTGTTGTATTATTTCTGTAGATGTAGACTGTAAACCTGAATAGAAGAACTGGTTTGGTTCCGACATTAATAAGTGGCTTGTTAAATGACACCTAGAGTCAAACATCACCCTAAGCCAGTGATGGCGAACCTTTTTTGGCTCACGTGCTAAAAGCGGGGGGAGCGGGGGGGTCATGTGTAGGCGTGCCACACCCATAATGCTATGTGCATGACCCCAGCACGTATGAGCACACGACCAGCGCTCCCCCCATTTTTGACGTGTTTTTTTCACCCTCCCCAGGCTCTAGAGGCTTTATAGGCACCTGATAAGGGTGAAAGAAGCCCCCCCCAGACCCCCCCCGGAGGCCCTCCAGGGCTTCAGGAACTTCCCTGAAGCCTCCAGAGTGCAAAAAAATGGCCTTATGGGCAAAACAGAAGTTCAGGAACATACTTCTGGTTTGCTTGTAGGATCATTTTTTGCCCTCCGGAGCCTTCAGGGAAGCCTCCTAAAGGCCCCTGAAGCCTCCGGAGGGCTAAAAATGGTCCCACAAGCAAACTGGAAGTACGTTCCTGAACTTCTGGTTGCCCATAGGGTTAGTTTTTCATTCTCCGGAGGCTTTAAGGCAGCCTCCGGAAGGCGAAAAATGATCTCAAAAGAAGGCTGAAGTCAGCTGGCTAATGCACTCATGTTTGCTGGCCAGCTAACAGGGCAAGCCTTGCGTGCCCTGACAAATGGCTCTGCGTGCCACCTGTGGCACACATGCCATAGGTTCGCCATCATGGTCCTAAGCCATAAAAAGAGGGAGCAATGATTTCTTATTCTCCTTGTGGGCTGCTGAAGAAAAGATACACTTTACAATGTCTCTAGAAATCTACAGAAGGATAAAATAGGTACCTTTGGCCTTAAGACTCTTCAATAACCTATTTGATCCTTAAACTGGCAATATAAAATTTGCTGGAAGTACAATATGGGACATCCCAAACCTTCCTCAGGAATGCTTGGGAAGGCATAGGTGCATTCTGGTTTGCCTGTCCATGCCATAAATCATGGTTATAAATTGCAGTGACTGTGTGAATACATGCTAAGCACAAATCAGTAAAAACTACATCATTGCTTAGTGTAATGTGTATACTCTGTTTTCTGTTGTCCCAAAGGACAAAAGTAAATTTAATGAACTTGAGTGACTTACAGTAGCAATGATTTCCTGCAGAACCAAAGAATTCCAGAAAATGGTTGGATAAGCAACCATCACTAAGATTTTCCTGCCTCATGCAGGAGTTTGCCCTAGATGGCTTATGAAATCTTTCCAGATTTTGATTCTATAAAATGGGGCATCATTTTAATCAATTAGTTTAATATAAAATAAATTATAGGTCCAGTTTTAACAGATATTAATAGCTTATTTTTTTAAAAAAGTCATCAGATTTTTATTTTCTTGGAGTGATGCTCCATTATTAGATGCAGTAGTAAGTATGTCAAAACCTCTGCACATATTTTCATCAGTAATATTACCTAGCAACAACTTTATCTTGCATAATCTCTTCTACTCCATTATCACAAGAGGGTGCTATTTCCATAGTTTGGAATTTCAAAGCAGAGTTGATACAAAATACTGTATTCTGAATAAATGTGGAACAGTACCTGGCAAGTTTACCTGGCTTCCCATTACAAAAGTACTTGCAGGCAAGGGAAGAGTTACTTACTTTCCAGGAGAGGAACGAAGTTAGTGAAGAGAAGAAAAAAAATGAACTGAAAAGTTAAACAAATACAGAATTTCAAAGACCTCCTATTCTCTGTCACTGTTGAACAATTATCTGTGGCTAAGAACCACATTTTCCCTGTTCCTGAGTATTAGACATACATATCCATTAATCAGAGATTGTATATATGATCATGGAATTGCGCCCACCCTCCATCTTCCCACTCAGGCAATGAAAGAAAAGTTTTTAGTGTTTCGGGATTATTGTTAAAACTTTATTATGACCAAAAATAGTTAGCAGAACAAAAGAAAACATAACCTTTAAAACCATTAAGGAATATGGTGTTGCTGCTTCCATATATTTAAGCAATCAGCATAAATGGATTCATATCTATCAAACAGAATATTTGTTTTCATGTTCATGTGTGCGTGTGATAAGAGATAGTGTACACATTTCCTACCCTTTTCTGATGATCCCTACAAAAGGCAGAATGGTAGTCCATGTTGTCAGTGCCTCGCTGATACTGTTTCACCTTCTTCACCTGGGAATTGCCTTTTCAGTGTAGTGGGGAATAAATATCAATATGCACCTAACATTTAGGCTGCATTTATATGTTGCGTTTTTTTCTTTTTCACTTTGATTTATTTTATATTGGATTTCCTCTATTATCTCTTCTACTTTTCAAGCAGTTCGAAGCTTCTTGAGCAACTTTTAAAGCCAAATGAAGCTTTGAAATAAAATAGGCCACAGCACATCTATTTTCCTTCAAGATATATAAATGTACATTCCATTAGGGATGCAGATTTCATGGCCATTGCAAAATATATGCTGCTACATTGCTTATGAAATTTATTCTGCTGTGGCTAATCCAGCACTCTGAAAACTTTCTCACTGTTGGATACCAACCCTATCTGGCTAATCTCCTTCCTCTGTCCAGATATCAGCCCTTTAATGGAAAGCCAAACTTCTCTCTGAACAATCTGTTTCCTTTGTGAGTTGAGCCAGTCCAGCCCTTGAGTGTGACAGCAATGTTCCGTCATAGAAACATCTGTCTTCTTTCAGATACTATTGTTCTTGTCCTGGTCTTAATGCTCCATTAGGCAATATAGTTATAGATTGTATCTGTGCCACGTTCAATGGAATGAAATATTTGATGTTTCCATCTTTCCTCTTCCCCATCTGAGTTTTTCCTACCTGCTCTACAGAAAGTGCAACTTATCTATTTCTCCCATAATCAGTCTTTTTCCCCCTTGTAGATTCTTTCTCTTTCTCTAGGAAATGCTGACTTATAAACTATCAACTTTCTCTTTATGTGCCAATTCATTAATATCTATGCCTGTCTTATCACTATTTATGGTCAGTTAGACAAATTCTGTGCATGTGAAAGGTAGTAAATTACTTTTTGGAATTAGACAGATAAAATTGAACTCTAATATACTCTTGTGTGAAAGTTTCATATTTAAGAGTATTACCATTGTAATCATCTATAGCAAACATTTCATCTTCTTTCATAGTAATTCAATTAAAAAGTAGATATGTTCCCACATATGCAGTGAGTACAGCCAAACATCTTGCTAGCTATACATTCTGAAAATTGCAGTCTCAGCGGAGTCAACAGAAGCAGTCAGATTGGACAAAACTACAGCACGGTATTCAGAGTTCCTCTTTAATATGCTGGTGTAAAAATAATATGCATTTTAGAGCAGGAAAAAACCTTGCTGTACACTAAATTGGGTGAGAACAGATTGTATGCAAACAATGTATTTTGTTCTGAGGACAGCTTTCTGTTATAAGTAACCTGGTTCCTTCAAAATTACATTTCAGGAATCTGTCAATGCTCTCTGTACTGTAGAATTGTTATGTTCCAATGTACTTAAAAACAGTTGCTCAAAAGCAGCAAAATTTTCTAAAGCATCTCTACTAGCCTCATTTTCTTCAGATAAATACACAGAAAGCAAGTAATTTTTTAAAGATGCTGTTACCTAATCTTTGGGCCCAAAAACAAATTTCTCATACTACGAACAGCCTTTATTCATTTCCTGTTGGGATTATCTGAGAAGGGTTAAAGACTTACAACACTCAGGTCAAAACAGGATGTTGGCTTCTGAGTTCATTAAGCTAAAAAATGCAAAGCTCTTTCTCTTACTGCATCTTCTATAAAAGTGAGGTTCCTTGCAGTTAAGCTTAAATCTGGTGACTTCATGGAAATGGTGAATTTTCTTGGCAACAGTGCAGAACCACAGGAGAACCCTAAAAAATTGCTCTATTCTTTTTTCAACACCTTAGTGGTTCTGCTGCTGGCCAATGCTCTCAACATAGCAGCTGGTGTATCCTTGCTCAAAACATTATCCAATATGGAATGATTTCCAAATTTAATGGCTGTTATTATACTATTTCAGAAACATACCTGTTGAGCAGCTCATGATACCTTTTTATACTTTTATCCCAAATAAACATGGCTGTGTGAATGAAATATACACTGGACAGTAATATGTTTGTGAATGTTTGCAAGTTTCTATTGTAACAAATTTAGAATTATTTGATCTATTGTGTAAAAACATAATAGAAGAATAGGAAAGTATAATAAGAAATTTAGAAAAAAAACCTCATGTCAGTTTTAATCAACGTTGTTATTTCCTGAAAGGTTTATTGCAGGGAAAAAGAAATTCCATATTCTTTTTTGCCACTGATTTAAATATAGACCAAGTCATGTTTTTGCATAAACTGTGCAGTTTCTGAATTTCAGAGTCTATACCAGTATCTCTGATGTAATGCATAGTTACAGAAACTCCCATGCTATTAACCATGTTTGCAGACAGAGGGGAGAGAGGGAAATGAATCTGGATTTTAGGAAGAAAATGAACATTTGGGGGGGGGGGTGTAAACAGGGAAATGAATTTGGATTTTAGGAAGAAAATGAACATGGGGGGTTGTAAACAGAGGAATGAGTTAGGGACTGCTTGAACCAGGAATAGGACAAAGGGGAATGGGGCCATCAAGTGGCCATTCAGCTGAAGCAATAAGGAAAAGAAATCTAGTTTTGCTCCTTTTTTCAAGTGCAGAAAAAGAAACAAAGCTAACGGCACACAAACCGATATTATGAGATCAAGTAGTTCCAAAAATGGCTTCAAACTGGCTTAAAGTTATCATTAGATGTGGCCTTAAAGTTAAGTTGGACAGGTATCAAAGACAATATCAAAGGGACATTTGTTGGGCATAATATAGAATCTCCTGCTTGAGTAGAGGTTTAGGAGACCTCCAAGATTCCTTCCAGCTCTGTTATTTTGTTAGATCACCCAGCTAATAGACCCAAGATCCCCAACTCCTGGCCCATGGCTCATACCGGGTTGTGGCTTATTTGCAACTGGGCCACAAAAGTGTCGGGCTAGCACGCATATGTGCATGTGCAGCTGACTCATGTAAGTAGCAGGCTAGTACCTATGTGCAGCTCGACTCATGCAAGTAGTAGGCTTGCACTTATGCATAGCTTGACTTGTGCGAGTGGCGGGATGACACACGCATGCATGCACAGCTCAACTAGTCGAGTTGCGTGTACATGTGTGCACGTGCTGGTCCTCTCCCCGCACGAGTCAAGCTATACATATATGGTGGTCTATCATTCACGTTCCTCTCTTTCCCCTCACAGCTGGGCCATCAAGCCACAAAGTTTGTGGATCACTGTAATAGACTTCAGGAGACCTGAAGACTAATATAACTGAGATATCAGTTTTAAAAAGGCTGGCATGTAGGAACCCAATAAGTTAAGAATTGTAGTTCTCTAAGTAAATAGGCTAAAGTGGACACAGTAACAAAAAATCAGACTATGAGGGCAGATAAAATTGCTCAACTGAATTCACTTTTTTTCACAGCTGTTCCATTTCTGCTTCTTTGTGCTTATGTTCTGAGGTTTAGTAAGAGTATATTGGAAAGAAATAGTGTCATAGTCACCATTTTCCTGATGCCATGTAAACTATGTTTGAAAAAAAGGACACACTTTTCCTTTCCTTGCAAGTATCATCAGCTGTGGAGCATATATATCTGTGATAAGACTAGGCCCATCCTGACAGAAAATATCCTTCTGATATTTTCTAGCATTGCTTATGTTCTTTTGTAATAAAAAGAAACACTGAGATGTTTCACTTGGAAGCGACCAAAGGAGATATTTATCATTTCCTCCCGTGAGAGGTTTGTTCTCACTGGAGATGTGTTTACTGATATCCTAGCTATATTTATTTATTGACCCTCTCTTCTCATCCTGGAATCCTCCTTTGCCCTTTTTTAGTCTGGTGGAAAATCCTAGGATTTAAAACTTTTCCCTCAGAGGCTACTTGGATTTAAATCAAAATAAAACCTCAGAAGAACTGCACAAACAATTGCATCAGTGGAAATTATCTTGCACCTTTGAAATCAGAGATATATTTGCCAGAAAGACAGCTGCGGCAATGACTAAAAGCACACACACCACCAAACTACTTCTGCTTGCATGCTGTTAAATGTTACGAGAACTTCGGAAATATCTACTTCCTGTTTACTACACATAGCCATTATTTTTATGTGTTAAATGATGCACATATGAAAACAAAACATAGTATTTTTTAAATGTGAGACTTAATTTGAAGATATTAAAACATAGAATAATCAATGCTCAAATGTGAGAGTCCTTTAAGTTTGAGGAAAGGTTAAGTGGCCCTTATGCCACCCACCCATCATTGAAGCAATAAATCACAAGTAATTTATTGACCTAAAAACTCAGTGATTCTTTAAATGCAGAAATGGCTTTAATTAGCCTAATTACTTTGCGGAAAAGATAGCTATTTCCTAATTTATGATTAAAGTGCCACCACTAAACAGAATTGAAATGGTTCAGACTCAATTTTTTTAAAAGTTCAGCACATACTTTTTAAACGATACTTTCTGTTTCTTTTTCAATCAGACAAACAAGGAAGAAACAGAGGTTACATTATTTCTTATACCAGTGGAAAACATTGTTAGGCTAGACAGACAAGAGAAACTTTCTGACATTCTCCTGATTCCATTCTGGAAGCTGATTTGCTGGAGTGACATTTGGCAGAGGTGCAAAGGGTATTAAACATAACTTGGCATGTCTCCCTCTGTCTCTTTAAAGTTAGTCTTTCCCAATCTGGCACCCTCCTGATATGTGTGATTACAATTCACATAGCATGACCTTTTGCTGTCCTGGTAAGGAATTATGAGAGCTATAAATCAACAAAACTGGAAGACACCAGATTGAGAAAGGCTACTCACATGTGACCTAAAAGAACTGTTTGTAGAACACCAATTTACAGGATTTGCAAATATAAACATCTGCAATAAATGGCAATTAATATTGCCATGCCAAAATGTAGAGGTTTCTCTACCCCACCTTATCCTTCTTTAAGGTATTTGTATACCATCTGAGACAATTAAAAGATGGCTCACTAAAAGCCTTATGCCTCATCTGTTGGATTATGGTTCTGGAATGTGGCCTTAACATTGCCTTAATACTTCAAACTAGTAAATACCCTCTTCTTTTGCTTGTTGGATTAAAGAAGAGAGATCCAGAAAACTATGGAAAAATAGTAGAACAAAAGCCTTTACCGGAAAGAAAGATGTAGTAAGAAGAGGAAGTAGAAAACTGAGAAATAACGAGAAAGTCAAAAATAGGATGCATAACTGATTCTGTCTTGCTCTCTCTTCTCTCCCCTCACTCCTGGAAAGGCAGTATCTGTTTAGTTTTGCGTCTAAATTTAAACCTTGATTGCTTTGTCTCCCTAAACACCCGCTCTCCCCACCCTCCCTTCCTCTCCTCCTCCCCCCCCCCCCCCCCCCCCCCCCCCCCCCCCCCCCCCCCCAGCATTTACAGCAGGCCACATAGGACTCTTGACAGTTTCTAAGCTAAGCTGGAACTTGGATTTTTACACTCCCAAGCAGTGTTTTCTTATTCTTTTCTTTTTCTTTTTTCTTTCCCTGCCTGGTCAGAAGCCTTGAACAAACAGAGGAAATAAGGGGAAAACAAAACAACGGGATGGGGGAAGAAATACTTCCCAAGACCATCACACACCTGCACAACAGAGAGGTAAACATAATTTCTTTTTTGCTTTCTTTCTTATTTAGCTCTGTGATGTTTTGGAACTTTGAAATAAACATAGTTAAATCTTAAACAGCCCAGATAATCAAGGCTATCAAGCTTGTACCTCAACTGCTTACTCATTAATGGGCAATAATGTTAATGTGGGGAATTAAATACAATTTTTTGTCCTTCTCAGAGAATTTTGCCTTTGAACCAGGTTAATTTTATTTGACTCAAAGCATCTGTATTTCTTCATAAGAAAGTCCATATTTAAGTTAAATAACTGACATTTGGTTTGTCTTGAAACTAATTATAATATATTGGGAGAGAATTTGGCAATTCAGTTTTAATAGTTAGCATATTCACAAAAGCTATTGCTCAGGTTGAAGTTCCCTTCTCTGATTCAAATGTTATCTTTTGTATTCTTAGTCCTCATATCATTGCTCTCAATATCTTATCATCTTTTCTTGGTTCATACATACAGTACTTAGCAAAGCTTCTTCTACTTCATATTACCTCACAACACACAAATCCAACATGTCATAAAAACAGCAGTAGTCAAGTTTTTTTCTTATTTGAATTGTGTGGATATCTAGATTCCAGGAAAAAGGTTGCAATTCTGTACTGGTTATATTAAAAACACATTCTCATTTATAAGAACTTTAGTAATTGCAATGTAGAAAAAGTTTAATGCATTGCAATTCTGTCAATAGGACTTAATATTGGAACTTTCTACATATAGCATCTCTTTCTTTTAATTACTGATTTGTCAGTATCATATTAATATATATTTAAATGGATAGCTTGGTACTAACTAATTTGAGAGTTGATAATCTACTGATCAGGACATAAAAACATGTCTATGAAAATATGAAAAGAACACTAAAATCATGTTCTTGTTTTATATTTCAAGGCAGGAGGAAGAACATATTAGATCTTTATAAGTCCACATATGTCCAAAAGTCCACACACAGTGGCATGCTGACAACTGACTGGGTACTTTACTTATGAAATGGTTAATAGCTAGGCTGATTTGCTATTTATTAAATCTGTTGTTTAGATCTGTTATATATTTGAAAGGATTTATCTACTTTTTAGCTAGCATTCTCATGATTAAAAAAAAGGAAAGTGAAGATACATATGCTTATCTAATTCCGTTATTCACTTAATTTGTAAAATAACTAAAAGAAGCTAATGTTCACCTTGATTTATTTAGTGAGAAAGACTAATATTTACAAAATAAGATTTCAGGATTGAGATTATCAAAATTTGGTATTATTTAAGGAGAAAATAGTTGTAAATCAAATTGCATACTGAACCCTTAGATTTTGTTTTCTATTTGACCTTTTGACCAAAGAATTGACCAATTATTTGCTGGATTTACACATAATAATAAGTTATAATTTACTTGTTTGCTTTTTGCTAAGTGTGATTAGTAAAACACTCATCCTGGCTTAGTGTTGTATACAAACCAAGTCACGATGGTCTGTTCAACAAAACATGATTTTAAAAATCATGAGAATCAATTGATTCAAATCAATTTAATTAATTTCAGATTATGTGTGAATTCAACCTTTATCAGCCCTTATTTGTTAAGATATTATTTGTATTATTGTTATTCATTCATGTATTGGAGCATGAATCATGTCTAGATTAGTGCTTTTTGTAAGTATTCATGAAAAGAAAAAAAAATGAACTTTGCTCAGTGTTTGTATAAGCCAAAATATTTCTGAATGTCCACTTTCAAAATTCTGATGTTTTCATAAATTTGAAGGCAACAGCAGATTGGATCAGAGATTTATCAATTTAATCTTTAAAAAGATTAATTTCCTGTTTAGAGAATCATATGCAGAAACCAGCTAGCATAGCTTATAAATATCTGTGGGCTTTGTCAGAATGCTCCTTGCCTTTTTACTGTCCTGTGGTAAAATCATCTGAAAAAATAAATGTGGAGAACTCAAGATACATAAAAATTAATCAAGAAGAATTAATCCATAACCTAAATTTAAACTCGTGTGATTGTCACATGTCCACACAAAGTAACAAGAAGGGGCCAATATGCCATCACAATGTAAGCTCTGCCCCTTTTGTATGTGCATACGGAAGAATGTCTCTCGAGTGACATTTTTCATACTTCACAATGTTGGTTCCTCCAGAGAACATGGGATGATAATAGCTAAGCGGCTAGGCATGTTAGACTCTGAACTTGTACAGGAAACCACCATGGTTAGAGTCAAGATAGAATTTAAGAACTTCTTTCTCTAGGAACCATTCCCCAATTTTAAGATTGCTATGCCAATCTTCTAGAATTCAAAGTGCATCATAGATCTTTGTGGTTATGTGGCTATGAAGTAGCGGAAGTTTGAATCAGGTGACAGACATAAACTACAGTTAGTCCTCAACTTAAGACACAATTGAGTCCAACATTTATGTTGCTAAGTGAGAAATTTGTTAAGTGAGTTTTGTTCCATTTTATGACTTTTCTTCCCACATTTGTTAAGTGAATCACTGCAATTATTAAATTAGTAACACAGTTGTTAAGTGAATCTGGTTTCCCCATTGACTTTACTTGTCAGAAGGTTGGAGAAGGTTCACATGACCCTGGGATCCTACTGAGTCCTAGTGGACAGCCATTTAAATATGAGCCAGCAGTGTGCAGCAGCTGNAGGCTTGCTTATCTCCACCCTCAGTCATTCTAAGAAGGCATTGATCCAGGGGTGAAATTCAAACTTTTTTACTACCGGTTCTGTGGGTGTGGCTTGGTGGGCGTGGCAGGGGAAGGATACTGCAAAATCCCCTTTCCCTCCCCACTCCTGGGGCCAATCAGAGGTGATATTTGCCGGTTCTCCAGACTACTCAAAATGTCTGCTATTGGTTCTCCAGAACCTGTCAGAACCTGCTGAATTTTACCCCTGCAATGATCCCTGTCGCATATTGCCTTTCTATTTACTGAATCAAGATTGATTTTAACCTAAACATTGTCAGTTTACAGATAATAAAAATATAAACCCTTAGATATCAGAGCTGGAATCTCTATGTTGCTACAATTAAAGTAAATGCTGTTCATACTGTTTCTTATTTCATCTCTTCAAGAGAGAACTATAGGGAACCACAAAGAAAGTTTGTGCATTCTTAACTTCAGATATTTACAGCTATTTTTTGAAACCAGTAGAAGACTTGTAGAAAATGTAAAGTCAATGTAATTCTGCAGATTTTATTAGCCTGCCCAGCACCATAACATATCAGGGTAAGAGGGGAGAATAAAGCAAGTTGAAAAAAAAAGTTGCTCATTGGAAAAAGATTAGTGTAGCTAGAACTGCAGCCATTTGTTTACTTATCTCTTAGCATGTGTTGTTTCTTGAGCAAGAGGCCTAGCTTGCTCCCATGCTTTCAATCAGAACAGACATTGTGGAATTTCCTTCTATGGAAATAATCAACAGGCCAAAACAAGCTTCACACACCCACTTCCTGAGTAATTTCTGCTGTGTTTGACTCCGTACTTCAACTTGTGGGGGGGAAAAAGCAGTCTGAATAAAGGCTCTGATAATTCACTGCCTTCTTTATGTACACGGCTGATTCTTTGATATACCATCAACTTTATTTGCTTCTTCCTTTTAATTATTAGAGCACTTTCTGCTTTAAACTGAAATCATATATTTGAGAACAATGAGAACTTGTTTTTTCTATTCCTTCGCTTTTGGTAAAATATCTTACTTATTTTAGAAACCTAGTAACCCTAAAGGATCACCAAAAAGTTAGTTCTAATAAAGCAGAGTCTTCTGTCTATCATAAGAACAAGTTACTTTCTTCAGGTGGGAATATCTCCCATCTGAAATCACAGATGCAACTGGATAAACCATTTTTTCTGTAATAGTAGTAATTATTGTTGTTGTACATTAAGTGTAAGAACCATTACTATGATTATCAGCATGGGTGGACTTACAGTATGATGCTAATTGGTTGTTACAGCAGAGAGTGAGCAGTTGTTTGTTCATCACTAATATTAGACATTATAGTACAATTATGATAATTTAAACCTATTCTGTATGGCTCTTAAGCTAGCTGTTTAAGCATCATTCCAAAAGAGACATGGATCACCAGAAAGAACAAAATTGTGCAGAGTTGCATAACATTTTAAATTACACATCTACGGGTTTAAAAATATTGGCTGTAATTTAGATACATCTCACCATTGTGGGAACATTAGAATAGAGTAGAGTAGAGTAGAATAGAATAGAATAGAATAGAATAGAATAGAATTATTTATTGGCCAAGTGTGATTGGACACACACAAGGAATTTGTCTTTGGTGCATATGCTCTCAGTGTACATAAGGNGAATACTGCATTCAGTTTTTGTCACCACGATGTAGAAAAGATGTGGAGACTCTAGAAAGAGTGCAGAGAAGAGCAACAAAGATGATTAGGGGCCTGGAGACTAAAACATATGAAGAACGGTTGCAGGAACTGGGTATGTCTAGTTTAATTGAAAGAAGGACTAGGGGAGACATGATAGCAGTGTTCCAATATCTCAGTGGTTGCCACAAAGAAGCAAACTATTCTCCAAGACACCTGAGGGTAGGACAAGAAGCAATGGGTGGAAACTAATCAAGGAGAGAAGCATTTCTGAATGTAAATCATGTGACCAGGGGGATGCTGCCACAGTGGTAAGTGTGAAAAAGGTCATGTCACTTTTTTTCAGTGCTGTTGTAACTTTGAATGGTCATTAAGTGAACTGTCCTAAGTTGAGGACAACCCGTACTTCTGATAAACTGGTGGGGAGATCCTGGCCGATATAATTACATAATTACACAATAAAAAAAACTTCTTCACAGATTAGTCTTAACATGTATAAGCACTGAAAACAGACACTTTCTCTTCTCCTTATGCCAGCCATTTAATTTGCTTTCATACAGTTGGACATGATTGGAGATAGATTCTTCAGATATTTATGTTTCCCAAAAATTATATAAAAGTAAAGGGTATGAAAGAAATCTGTAAATGAACT